ATATCTTGCTCCTTGGAATCTCAGTGATGAGGAACTTCTCGGCCATGGGGCCCCAAAGTGCTGGGCAGCACTCCAGTGAGGAGACAGGCACAGGGAAAGAGGTAAGCATGAAATGTCTGTACCTTCTCCATCCACAGGCCTGGCTGCAGGCCTTTAGGGCACACCAGAGGTGCAGCACCAGATTGCCCCGATTCCAGGCCCTGGTCAGGGCCATTCTTACCATCAGTTCCTCCTGGGGCCCTGTGGACCTCATTCAATCCATTGATGCCCCACCCCAGATCATTTGCATTTTGGAAAAACCCTGCTAGGGAGGGAAGGAATCCACCCTGCGCACCCCTCCTTCCTCCCCCAAAACACAAGGGGCGGGATTCTTGGTATCAGTGGAGAGATGTTTTGGAAGGGGAGTTCACCAGAGTTCCACAAATCATTACACTCTGGAGAGCACTTGGGTCTCCCTGCAGGCAAAGCAGGCTTCATTTACTCTCTCAGTCAAGAGACACTTATATGTGCCTACCTTGTGCCAGGCATTGCATTAAGTGCCGAGGATAAAACAGTGAATTAGGTAAAGAATGAATCCTGCCCTTTGGACATCTGTGGTCTTGTGTGAGATGGCAAACCTCCTTCAGAATGTTCCTTTGACTCCTTTCTGACCAATTCCTCCCCAGCTTCCTCTCTTAGAACTGTTCATATTCCCAGACCTCCTCTCAGTAGCAGCAGGGCAGCAGTCCCAGGGCTCTATATTGGTCACAGCAGTTAGCAAGCCATGCCAACTGGACCAGGTGCTCCTACCCAGCAAGAAGCTGCCTCCATGCCCTGATGTGCCAACTTCCAGGCCATGAGTGGAGCAGCAGCTCAGGTGAAAGGAGGCGATCTCCCCTGTGGCTGCATCAAGCCAGAGGTCTTTAGTCCATGAAATAGCTTCCTTTCCAAGCTCTCCCATTTTTGGTATTGCCCTGTCCAGGTGTGCAAATTCACCCAGATAAGACCCCTGCCCAGAGGCTGAAAAGCCATTGATGTGGCCCTCTTTCCTGCTCTTGCAATACCCTCCTGCTTCTTCCTCCCCAGCCTAGTCCTCTCACCTCCACAAAGCCTAAGTTCACCCTCTGGAGATCTCCACCCCTCCACTGGCTTGTTGGTAAAATGGTGATGTCCTGCCCTGCACCCCTGGCAGAGCTGTTGGAAGTAAAATGAGACCATGAATAACACCAGAGCTCTGTTGTGTCAGGTACTGTTCTCCAGGCTGTGCATTTACTCACTAACTTCATCTTTCCCACAGGCCTCTGAGACATACATTATCTTATCATCATCTTCCTCTTACACATGTAGAAACAAAAGCACATACCCAAAGACACAGCACGTAGCAGAAACAGAATTTGGATCCAAGTAGCCAGACATTTGTCTGTGTGCCTACCTATGGACACTCAGCTGCCCCCAAAGCAATCTGCAAACAAGAAAACACTGTACAAGCCCAAGAACACTCTTTTCATCCTAAATGTTGGTGCCCCCTTGCACAAAGCTCTCAGCTCACCTTCACACCTCTCTGATCAGACACTCCTGCCTGGTCTTGCCCTGGGTACCGGTCCCAGAATTACTTAGCCCAGCATTAGGATCCCAACTCCCCCACCAATCTGTTAGAACCCAGTGCTCCCCTAGACAACCCCTCGGGCCCCACTAGCCTCTGGCCCAGGGATCCAGGAGCTGGTGCCAAGAAGGGGGTTCCAGGGGAGGGAAGAAGGGGGCCAGGGAGGAGACAGGCAGGTCTGGGCACAGCTGGAGAGCAATGCACTGCCTCTGCCCTGCACTGGCCAGCATGAGATCTACCTAGGAGGGGAGAATCAGAGCCAGCCAGTGATGGGCAGCACCTGCTGTGGGGAAGCCAGCCTGACACCTAATCAGATCACATCCCCTCTTTAGCAACTCTGCATCTCCTTCCAGCTCACTGGCCTCCCCCCAGTATCCCAGCCCCACCCTGCCTGAGATTTCCAGCTGCCCAGTTGGTTTTATAAATGGTCCTTGCAAGAGGTGGGCACCTTGGCTAATTGAATTAGCACCCAAGAGGCAGGAGGCAAGAGGCTGTTTAGCATCACAGCTGAAAGGTGGTGGCAGCAACAGCTTGAGTAGAGCCATCAGGGAGGATCCAGGGCTGGAGTGGCGGAGGCCCAGCAAACTTGGCCTTTACAAATTCTGATGCTCCAGGGTGGGAACCCAGTGGGCAGGGGGCTGGCCAAACTCACTGTCACAGGCTTACACCGAAGACCCCAACCCATACACACTCCACCCATATCCTCTGGAAAAAGAAATTCCAAGGGGAGGCAAGAGAGAGGAGAAAAGAAATAGAAGTGACACAGGGTGTGCTTGTGTGTGTGTGAATCTGTGTGCATACCTCTAGGCTGGGCATCAGTTATGATGCCATCTTACCTGTGCAGACGTCACCGCTGCGTAATAACTAGAAAACAAGACCAGCTTTCCTGGTTATAGGGAAACTTCTGGTATCAATAGGTACCAGGCAGCAGACCCTGGAGCCAAGAGACCCTTTCTTGGATCTGTCACTCGATCTTATATCACCATGCGCCTGTCCAGGGCATCTGTCTCCTTACCTAGGAATTAGCCCCTGGACAGCCTGGGTTGTCTAGCAGAGAAATGCTCTAAAGAGGGCCTTGAGGTTGATCCCTCAAGCAAACCCCCTCATTAATTCATTCAGCAAACATCTGCACATACACTGTGCACTGTGGTATCTCTGAGGGTAGGGACAGGTCTCTGTTGCTCTCCAGCTCCAGGTGAGGATGGTTCACTGCAAGATGCTCCAAGTAGCATTTGTTGAATGAAGGACTGATGCACACACTGCAGGTGATAGCTGTGCAGTTGTGGCTGGCTACGATGGTGCTGACACAATTCTCTGTAGGCTGATTCACCTGCCAGCTCATGTCCTCTGAGGAGGACCCTAATGGCATGGTCAGATGGCCTCAACAACTATCTCAAGAACTTTCATTACTCCTCCAACTTCCCCAAAGGCCTTACTTCCCCTGCCCCACCAGTCCTCACCCCGCCTTTCCCTGAGGGCCAATCTTCCACTTCCCCTTGGGAGGCAATGCCAACATCAGAATGGAAGAATGCAGGGGTCCCTGCCCTGGAAGGTGCAGCGGGGATGAGAGGGGCCATGTCCAGCTTAGGACCCGCTTCTCATGAAGGCAGGTCCACGTTTCTGGAAGTGGGATTCAGAGGGTCTGAAGGAACAGGCTCTGATGTGCAGATTCCTAAAATTATCCCCAAGCCCTTCAGTAGTAAATTCCTTCCTTTCTTCTGGCTAAGCCCCCAGTGGCCCTTTGCATGGGCTAACACTGCCCCCTACTGGGCTGAGCCAGTACGGCCACCTCGAGCACCACCTGAGGAAAATGGAAATGTGGCATCTTACTGTGAAGAGAGTCCCCAGTTTCCACCCCTGGCCTGAAGAGGGTAACAAAATTCTTGAAGGCATTAGGCTTTCCTACCTTGGGGGGTCCTGAGGCTGGAACATGCAGTGCTAGCAGGGGCAGCCCTTTGGCTCCGACACAAGAGGCAGAGCAGAAGGTCCCTCCGGCTTGCTCACCCATTGCTCAAATTCCTTTCATAAGGGGCAAAGCTACAGTGTGAAACAAGACTTAGGTTACAGCACACTTGAGAGGCTGGCATGAACCCCAACCTCTATACCTCACTCCCTCCTACGCTCTGGCTCCTCTATCCAGCTTCTGCCTTCCCCTGGCCAGACAGATCCCAGCCATCCTCACCTTGACACACCAGAAACCAAGATTCATCTTGTTCTCAAAACCTTAGTTTCTAGAAACCCTCTTGTGTTCCACATCCTGCGACTCCACTGCAGGTGCTACTCTGTAACATGTTCTGATCCATCTTTTCTCAATTTCCCCCTTTCAATTCAGCCCCAACCACCCCATCCTACCCCAAGTCTGTCTTCCCCAGGGCTATTGGGGTTACTACTGCTCAGCTCTTAAGGGACTTCCTGTACAAAGGCCATCGCTGTTCTTCCTTCCGCTCTAATTAGGCACATGGTTGGAATGTGCCTTCTCAAGGAGGCTGCTGCACGTTCCCTCTGCTCTGAGCGCAGAACTCATCCTGAACATATTGGTGTCTCCTCCACGGTTTCTATTTCTTACTTCTGCTCAGGATGCTCTTTCAAGTTCCCTTAATCTTCATCAATTTCTTTCCTACCCATAAAGGTCCACCTTAAACGCCACCTTCAATATGAAGCCTTTCTTGGGCTCCTGACAAATTGTTCTCTCTCTGAAGCTCACAGCCCTGTTTGGCCTCTCATGGCACTCATAGCCCCTCTTGTGACAGACACCTGTGCCTTGCTTCATTCCCTTATGGGCTGTGGGCAGCCTATAGCCTCATAGCTGGTGGGCTGACAGCAGAAGTTTCTGGGCATGCACTTTCAGGAAAGCAGGTATCAATGAGGAAAGAGCACAAGGGCACAGAGCCTAACCTGTGGGGACCCAACATACCAGGACCTGGGGGCACCTAGGGCCAGTAGAGAATAACAGCTGGAAGGGTTCTCAGTACCCACATGGTGCAACCTCCTGCTTTTACAAAGTGGGAAAAATCTCTGGGCAGGAAAGGGCTGGCTCAGGGCCACCCAGCAGGTGAGTCCCATTCCTACTGCACAGAGTACCAATAAATCCTAGTTCTTTCCTTTTGTGCAGTCCAGCTTTTCCCCGCTGCCCCACCATTTTTTCTGGTGTTGACCTTATCCTAGTAAAGGATAGATACACATGAATCCCTTTCCCAGAGCAACCAGACTTCCATGGACCTCCTTCTCTGTGACTAGATGCTTAAGACCCAGGGCAGCCCCAGAGAGGAAATGACAAGGGGGGTGTCCATTGGAGTCTTCACCCCAGCAGGCTATAGCTGTCCCATCCCTACCCCTACAGGGCTCAGGCCACACCAAAAATGTTTCAGAAATGCTTTAATGTCACAAAGAAATCTGAAACCTGCAGAAAGCTGCAGCCATGTCCTGAGTGCCTGGACCCAGGTCAGTCCCATAACAAGGGCCATAGCAGGCAGTAGGCCTGCATGAACCAAGGAACCAGGGTTGCTGACATCCTCTTGTCCTCTGCCCTATATGCCCCCAGGTTCCTTCTAAACCCGGGGAAAGAAAGAGAAGGAAGTGGAAAAGGAGTAGGAGGAGGGTGGGTCTCTCCAGGGCATTCTTCCTGCTTTGGGTGGTAGGTGACTCACCCAGCAGGCCTTGGGAGGGACCATCCGTCAGACCATACCACACTCCAGCAGGCCCAGCCTAGGGCTTCAGAAGAAGAAGAGGAGGTTCTTCTGATGTAGTGGCCAAGAGAAGTCACCAGCAAAAGACTGAAAGGGAGGTGGCTGTCCTCTCCCCTCAATGTACACTTCAATGTGACCAGCATTTCTGTCATTTTGGGCTTTTCTTAAGTACAACATTGTCATACTCAGTTCCTGGCTGCCAGCCAGAGGCAGAGAGATCCTGCCTAGCTGGGTGGACCTGCTGGAGGCCACTAGGGTCCACTTCAGCTTTGGCCTGCCTCCTCCGTGCCTCAGGCCGAGGTGCCTGTGGGCTGTCATACAGGCTCAGAGTGGCCACACCCTCTGGTTCATCATATATGTGGTCAGGTTGAGGGCATAGGGTCTCCTCAATACTGTCGTACAGAGGGTCAGCCGGGATCTGGGGAGGGCCTGCCAGCATGCACTTGAAGCTCTTCCCCAATGACCGGGCCACTGCATCAAAGGGCACTGCGTACTCCCCCTCTGGGCCTGGAGGCCGCGGGGCAGGCAACAGAGTGGGTGAAGGAGGTGGCAGCGAGTCATGGGGCCGGGGCAGCACAGTAGGTATCATGGCGGGCTGGGGCTGGGGCCCAGGTGGGGGAGCATTCTTCTGGGCAGAGATGGCCTCTTCCAGGGCCAAGAAGATCTCATTGCCTTGTTGGGTTTCAAACTCAAAGTTGCCCTCTCCAGAGATGCAGCGCCGGCCTGCCTCGAAGGAAAAGGTCACCTAAGCCAGAGGAAAGGAGGTTACTGGTAGGGTCACAGGGCAGGGCTGCTTTCTTGGGCCCCACTGTCAACCATAGGTCCTGGGCCTGCAGCTGCCTGGCATCAGAAACCACCAGGACTTCTCCATCTATGGAGAACTTGAAAGGACTCCCCTTTCCCCACCCTTCATGCTCCCTTCCACTCGTTCATGTCCGCAGCCTGGCACAAAGGTCAGCCACCATTCCCCCATCTAACCTCTCCACTCCTCCTTCCTTCTCTTCCCACCCCCACCTCCTCATCACTCTCTCCTCCTCACTGTTTCTCCTCTGCTGGTTTTATCTCTGCCTTTTCCTTCTCCCCGCCTCCTCCTCCTTCCTTTCTGTCTCCCTGCTCCCTGACCCCCTCTTGGTTCAAAACTCACCCTTTCTCTCCTGCCCCACACAGCAGCCCTCACCTTGTCCCGCCCAAAGCGTCGCAGGAACCTGTATGGCCATTCAAACAGCGGAGAGCTTGGCTCAGGGCCACCCCACAGTTCCAGGGTGCTCTCCCCTGCACGCAGGGTGTAGGATCCCCGGAGGCGGCACCTCTCACTGGCCTTTGTAGGTCTTATAAGGACGGCAAATTCCTTGCAGGGGACCACTGGGGAGGAGAGGAGAGAGAAGGCAGTTAATGGGAAACAGCTGGTGTGCCTCACACCACAACACAACACTGGTTCTAAATGAGTGTGCTAGAGGATTTCTAAAAGAAGTATTATCCATGTACTCATGACCTCCAACCTGAATCCTAAAGGCCAAGCTGCTCCGTGCTGGGTCACACTCCCCAAAATGCCCGCTACCTCCACCTCCTACCCTAGTAGACACCAAGCCCACGTCCTTCCTGCTATTGTGGCCAGAGCCACAGCCCGCCTTCTCCACCCTACCTCTCACCTCACAGCAGCCGCCTCCACAGTCCCTCTTGCCACAGCTGTGGGTAAAGCCTGTCCTTCCCTTCCCCATATCAATCCATGTCCCCCAGCGGTTGAGTTTAGGTAGAAGACTTAGGAAAGCTTCTCCTTTATCCAGCAATGCCTCAAAAATAGGACCCTCACCTACCCCACCAGCAGGGCCTGGGAAACAAGGGGTGAACCAAAGGTGACACTCAAGGCAGGCCAGGCTCCTCCACCTTGGGCCACACCCGGAAGTGAGGGGGAGAGGCTGAGCAGGGGATGGCCCCAGCTAGGGGCAACCACAGGCAGGAAGCCCCAGGACTGAACGCTGGCCCACACCTCCTCCCAGCCACGCCCTTAAGTCAGCACCCAGGGAGCCAGGGCAGCCCCTGCCCCTCACCTGAAGCTGTGCTGCTGTACAGTTCATTCTCCTCCATGCAGGGCTGGCTGCTCTTCCCCTCGGGCCCTGGCAGCTCCTTCCTCTGCCCCTGGAGAAGAAGCCCCCACTCTCACCACGATCCCCAATCCTAAGAACTACCCCAGCCCCAGGCTTTTTCTCAGTGTCCCCCACCCCCCAACCTGCTGGCCCTATCTGTAAGGCTGGCTTGGAGTCTCCATATCAAGGAAGTACCCTGCATCCTGACCTTGACTCTCCTAACTCCTGCCCACAGGAAGCATCTAGTGCCCCACCCTGCATGCTCCCTTGCCCTTCTGCAGCCCTGGACAACTCACAGGGAAAGCTAGCAGACAGATGGCCTGCATCCAGTCACTGCGCTCTGCAGAGGGGGCTGCCAGGAGGTACAGGCGTTCCTTGGTCTCCAGGATGAAGGCACTGGTGTCCCTGGGGCTGCTGTCCTCCCCGCTGGCTTCAGCCACTCGCAGGCAGTCGCTGAGGCGAATAACCCTCCGGGCAGCCTCTCCCCGGCGTGGCTTCTCTGGGCTCTCCTGGAGCTCCAGCCGGGCCAAGGCACAGCCTGACTGTCCATACAGCACAGCTGCGAACCGGCGCCATTTCTGAGCCCCGATGTGTGGGTGGCCAGGGAGGGAGACCACAGGGAGGGAGAGAGTGAACAAAGGGGCCAGGGGAGAAGAACAGGGCAGCCACCCAGAGACAAGGAGAAAGGTAAAAATCAGAGGAGACACCAGGAGGAAGAGAGGATGATAGAGACTGTAGGAATTAGAAACTGGAGATCAGCTGCCAACAACTCAGAAGAGGCCTGCAAGCAAGAGCAGAGAGATTGCTAAAGGCACAAGGCAGCACAGTAATGAGCCCCACAGGTGCAGGCTGCAAGAAGGCCACACAGGCCCAACCCCAGCAGATCCAGTGTAGAGGAGAAAACCAGGTGAGTCACCAAAGCCCAAAGGAGGGTCCCGTAGGGCAGCATAGGGCCCAGACTAGAGACCTCACTCCTAGTCTGTGTGAAGTCCTGGAGGAGGACCTGCCTCCAGGAGCCTCTCTCCACCCTGCTGAACCTTTCTGCCTCACTGCTTGACAGGCTGGGCCATGGTGGGGATAGATAGGTGCCTCCCAGTGTGGGTCAGCTGAGGGTCATTCATGGAGGTCAGGGAAGGAGGAAGATGGACATGCTGGGGCCCCAGTTCCCAGAAGCCCCAGCCCACCTCCAAACCAGACATGCTCCGCAGGGGTGGGAAAGGGGAGAGGAACCTCCACTGTTATCCCAAATCGTGCCCCCAGCTTTTCCTTCCATTCCCTTCCAACTGTCCCCATGAGAGGTCAACACAGAACAAAAGAGAAAAGCAAGACAAGAGATTAAGTCAGTACCCTCCCCCAACCGCCAGGGCAAACAGTGAAGAACAGTTTGGAGCCTAGTTTGGGCCTGGTTTGGGAAGCAACAATTGGTAAGGAAAGACCTTTCCTGAGGTTGAACTCTAGGTCTAACTTTGTGGCCCCTACAAAGGTTTTGGAACACAGACCTCCCTCTCCACCTCCGGGGTTTCCAGCAGCCCCAGGCTTGCCCTGCTCCCACCTTTCCAAACGTCTGCTGCTGCTGGAGATATAGGCAGCCCTGCTTCACCGCCATGTCGCCCATCCTCTGACCATCTCGCTGCCCCTGGCTTCAGCTCTCTCCTTCCACTTCTGCCCTCTTTCTCTCCTTTCTCTTCTCGGCTGTGTGTTCCCCCTTCTCTCAAGTTCATTTCCTCTCTGCCTAGAGTTTCTGCAGTATTCTAGTCTGCTTGATGACGACAGGCCGATATAGGCCCTGTGGTTTCTTGTGTGTGCTTTTTTTTTTTTTTTTGCTGAGTGAGTTTCATGCTCAAGCTTCCTGCATTTCCAGTGAGTTAGAGACAATTTCCAGAAAGTCAAATGCTACCTCTTCAGTGAGCAACAACTGAGGGGCAGAAGCTGGCACAGACACCAGCAAAGAGTAGCTGCCCTGCAGAAGTAAAGAGACCCAGAAACCAAATTTGACAGTAAAACCACTAGCAGAAGTCTCCTCTCCACCCTCTAGGCTGCCTGCTGAGCAAGACAGTTGGAAGACAACCACCCCAAGGCACTGAAGTTCAAAATGAGGAAACAAAGGCTCAGAAAGGTCTGTCTGAGGGACCTGTTCAAGGCCACCAAATTAGAACCCAGGTTTCTCAGCTCTAATAGCTGAATTGCACACAGAACGCAGACACTTAAGACTGCCCACAAGGGCACACTACCCAATACCACTTGTGCTTTCTCTCTCTCTCTCACACACACACACACATACAGATACACAGATGCAACTGTTTCACTAGCTGAAACACTCCTTGCCTGCTAACAACATGCACTTATACCACCCCGTGAAGATTTTATTTATTTATTTTTTAAATCTTATTTGTGTACATTAATGCTATCATGGGGTACAGAGTGCTATTGCTATATACAATTTGAAATACTTACGTCCTTAAAGACCCTGTGAAGATTTTAGAAACATGAACATCCCTTCTGGAGAAGGAATTTACTTCCCCAAAACAGATAAACTGTTAGGTTTTGCCTTCTTTCCAGCCTTCCTGAGCATTAGAAAGCCGCTTGGGTTTCATCTGGAGATTACCTTAAGTGATTACAATAGCAATCACTTTAATATATTTTATATATTTTTATGTAATTTATATTTAAGATTCATTTGTATTTAATATATATTTTAAGTGCTTCCTGGTTACCTAAAGCTTCCAGGCACACACATCCACCAGCCATGCTATTCCTTGGCAAAGGCAAAGCAGGTACGAACACACCTGTCTACAACTTGCCTATGGGCGCAGAGATACTGGGGGGCAGAGAGGAAGAAAAGCCTGGGGCTCCTAATCTTTAATTAAACATTTTTCTGGGGCCGTTAGTGGAATCCAGACTCCCTGCAAGATAGATTGTTTGAGGGGAATCCAGGCTCCTTAGAGAAATTTAACTTAGAGCCGGATGGCTTAGGGAGGCCAACTAGATGGAGGCACAGTCTAGAAATATTGAGGGAAATGAGAATTAGACTAATACTCTTGGGGGTAATCCCATAATGAGTGCTTATATTAAAAGGCCCATTTCCTCTACCACAGGGGTTCAGTTGCCCTGGTGGTGAGAGCAGAGCTGTGCAGAGCTCAGGCCATCTGTGGTACATGCCAGTTGGACCAAAACAGCTTGAAAAAAAATTAATGTTAGGAGCCCTGGGAGGAGACAGCTGAGTCGCTACAACCTCACCACCCTCAGCCCTGCTGCCTGGGTTTGAACAGGTTGATCCAAAGCTCAAGGGAACACCAAGAATGTTGTTGTGGGAAAAGTACACCTTGCAAAGTGGCTTAGGGTACGGAAATGGGATGTGGCTCATGTTGTCTCTCTAGTCCCTAAGGAGAGCCGGCTGTGCCTGAAGCTGCATGGTCTTCAGGCTTGTAGAATGTGAAGGGCTGTTAGGATCATCTTGGGGGCTGCCAGAGCAGTGCCTTTCAAACTGTAATGTGCAGTTTAAAAGTAGATTCCAATAAAGTAGGTCTGGAGTGAGCCCTGAGATGCTGGCATGGCAGCTAGGTGGGCCGGACGGCACTTTGAGAATCAAGACCACAGAGGATGTTCCCGCCACAGCTTGATCGCCTTCCCTGAAGGCAAACTGAGCACATTCCACTACAAACCACAGGGGGGCACCCAAGCTTACTAGATTACATGAAAACTGCTTAAACCTGGAGGCTTGAACCCCAGGCAATGTAGACACCCCCATCTCATCCCTTGCCAGTGAAAGCTGAAGAAGTTCTCCTCCTGTAGCCATTGTCTACAGAAGATAGGATAGTAAGAGTCTAACAAGAGTAACACCCTTGAGTCTTTCAAGGCCCTTCAACGTGCTCTAGTAGGATTTGTGAGGACCCTGAGTGGGAAACACTATCCCCAGTACCAGCTGCCTAGCCACACAGGAGCCCTGTGAGGAGCCCATGGCATAGCAGAGGAGCAGAGAAGTTGAGGTCCTTAGGCTCCCCAAGCACCAAAGAAGGATGGAGAAAGAACTGAAAAGGAAAGGATCCTGGTGGTTTATACTGAGGCACAGGTGGGGTCTGAGAATGCCTCTTGGCTTCTCTGTGTTTTCATTGCAAAGAAAGAGGCACCCCCAAATCACACCTCTGCCTCAATATAAGGCACCAGGACCCTGTCCTTGACAACGGTTTCTCTCAGCAAGAGTCAGAGGAATCTCAGACCACAGCTCCAGGAACTTTGCAACGTTTTGTTACTATTCTTCTTGGCTGTTTAGCAACAAAATCCTAACACAAATGGGCTTGTGAGCTGTGTTTGTAAGCAACAAAGGAGAAGCGGGAGAGACTGCCTCTGACTCTTTGGGAATGCTTGCAAAGTAGGTAACCCCAAATGATGTGTAGGTGAGAACAGCTGCCCAAGAAGCAGCTCTGAACACACCTTAGAAAAAACACATACAAGATGGGCAGAGAGGTGATGTGGGCCTCAGAAGAAGGACTGAACAAAGAAATAAGTGAGTAGTTCCTGAAAGACCCCATCCTTGCCTCCCCAACCCTGAGTAGTTTCTGACTTAAGGGGAAGGAAAACAATACCAGTCTCTTGAGTTTCATTTGTATCACCATCATCACCACCACCACTCACCTCCACCTTCACCATTAAGTATATCACTTTTTTCAATACTAAGAAAGAACCCAGTTCTCGAAACCCTCTAAGAAGAGGAGCCTGTAACATAATATGGCACAATGTAATAATTATATTACTTAACACTGATATAACACTAAAATGTTTTGGGTTCTCATATGACCCCCCCCACACACACACACCCCCTAGTATGAGACTGAAATATGAAGTTAATTCATCCAAGTCAGGGGACAACTTTCCATGCCAACACACTGTGAACAAGAGGGGCAGGGTAGAGATAAAATCATCTCATGTGACCTCCTGGGACACTGCAAATATTTGGATTATCAGTGCAATGGGAGGCAACTTAAGAATTTTATGTAAGGATGTAAATCATCTGAACTACGATTTTTAAAGGAATGTCCTGAAGCTCTGTGGGAAATAGATTATCAAAAGGCAAGACAGGACTCAAGGAAACTAGTTCAGAATCCATTACCAGAGCACAGAAGAAATGTAACGGTGCCTTAAACCAGAGTGTTAGCATTACAGATAAACAGAGTGGCCATATTTGGGTCTATATAGATATAGACTGAACAGAACGTGCCGGTGAATTGGATACAGGGACTGTTAAGATGTGAGGATGAATGGTGGTACCATTTACTGAGAAGTGGGAGACAAAAGAAGAAACAAGTGGTTAGGTGGGGCAGCAGGAAAGACAGAGATTCAGACCTAGCCCACTAGGAAGCTGTTACCTCTACCCAGTGAAGGAGGGAATCCAAAGACTGCCACTGTAATTTTGATTTTAAGAATAAATACACCGCTGCACAATGCAAGCTCTGGAAGCCCTGGACTTCACGGCCCTGCCTCTTTAGGCTCTCAGAGCTATTGCCTGGACATTGTAAGCTTACTGCAAAAAAACAACAAAACAAAACCAATCTGATATGTCAAAGTCTAGCTAAGCTGCTCTGAAGGAAGAGTCAAAAGCTCTGTCTCATTTCTACCTCCTAAATCTCCTCTGAGTCAATCTAATTGGCACAGCCTTTGCACACAGAACCCTAGGTCCAAGGAAATCTGGGTAATGTAGTTTTTAGGTGTCCTACAGCTGCAAACCAGGAAGACACATTAGGAGTATGGAGGTTAGAATGAACAGAGTGCCAGTCCACTGTATTCACAAAAGAAAGGGTGTGTAATTCACTACCCTTTGCATCATACCTTGTAACACCATCCCCAATGAATGCAAACATCGATTAATGCTGTCAGAATCCAGCTAATACCTAGACTGGGGGCCTTGAATGGAAGCCAGAGGGGAGTCCAATGGAAAACAGGAATCAGCATTATCTAATAAAGATAATTCCTATCGGAAAGACTGGTAATAGTCTCAGCATGCAAGTACTGGCCTCATGTGACCTACAAGAACGGCTTTTCCACTCAGATTGCCCCCAGGGGCCCCAGCCACCAGCACCACCAACTCTCCCAGCATCTGACCCCTCTCAGGAGACAGCCTACAGTACTGGTTGAGATGCCAATCTCTTTGAAAAGATAAAACTGTGCCTTCCGTGCATTTTGATCATCACTACTATTTAGTGGCTGTTTCCAATGTTTATCCAGGAGAAAAGGACAGAAATAAAATCAAGGAGATAACTATTGGGATTGCTGGTGAAACTCTCTATCAGACGGCAACGGTCCGGGTCCAGAAGACACAGACACAGATTTTGCCCCCCCTGAGAACAGGACCTTGGAAAGTAAAGAATGCTGCAGGCATCCTAGGTGGGAGAGGGAGTCAACGGCGGCGGACGCCCCGAAGACCCCTCCTGGAACTGGTATCAACAGAGCTGCACGGCAGGGTGGGGGTCCAGGGGCTAGTCGAGGGGAAGACACTTGGGAAGAGAGGAAGCCACAGGATGCAGGGGTTTCGGGCGGGGACAAACCCCATCCAAAAGCCCACACCACGCAGACCAGATGAAGGCAGCACCAAATCCCACGCCAGCGCCCGTCCGCCGGAGCGAGTGCGGCCCCTTTAAAAACCATGTAAACAAAGCTTTGTTCCCCCAGCTGCCCCTCCTCCGCGTTCCCCCGGCCCGCTCCTTCCTCCCACCCGGCGTCCCCGGGCCGCTGACGTTGCCCGCGCCTCTACGCCGTCCCAGCGGTGCTGCGCATTCTCCAACCGCGGCC